ATATAATATAAGCTCTGGCGGACTTGGTTCTATGGTAGGTCTTAAAGGGTTAAAGTAGATGATCCTTCTCTCTTTGCCAAATAAACTACAGCTCGTTTGGATTACACAGGTGGATGAATATGAATGAATGGGTGACGGAGCAGTTGCTCACTCCCACCCCACATGCATTGCTTCCATTGCATAATACTGGGCTCAGACTTGTAAACGTTTACTGCAGATGCATTTATGACTTGTTTACATTCTGGGCTTATCTGCAGGTCGCGATCGGCCCGAGGCGGGTTCTCAGACACACTGGATACTTCAGCTTTCTGAGCGATAATGCTGTGGCGCGCATCAATGCCAGGAAAAATAAAACACACTGCATGACTAATACACATGTCATACATTCCCAATCAATGGTTGGATTCAATGGAATATTCCACAAATCCTGACCTTGCCAGATTCATTAGCCCTTTGTATCCACAGAAAATAATAACTCTGTCTTTCAAGCGACCCGAGGATCTGGGTAATGTTACCGGTGATCATTGCAGTTGACATCTTGCAGTTATGCAAAAGGTTTGTTCCATTACGTTCAAAGATTCAGGGACCATGATGACAGCTGTCTGAGAAGGATGGACCGCAATGATTTCTTCCTTTTCCACAGCTGCACTCGTGTCTGTCCACCAGTAGCTCTACTGCACTAAATACCTGCTAATAGAAGCAATAAGAAAATCGCTTCATCTGCCCACTGTATTATGTCAATTTCCATTCATTTCTAATGAGCTTCTCAGAGGCTCACTCAGTGTCTGATTCTTTCCACTACAGCTCAGAATTTATTGTGCTCTCTAGTGTTGGAAAAACCTCATTAAAGCCAGACACGGAGCACCCGGCACTTCATTCCAGTGTGAATTCCTTCAGCTCACGTGATGTCGCACACAGTGCTGTGGATAGACGGAGGAAGGGAGGTAAACATGGCCGCCTAAAGGGCCTGTTGCAGTGAACCGATGGATCTATCCTGTAGTAGTAGGAGAGAAAACCTTTGCTGTTAGCATATCAGCAATCTGATCATTTTGCTGCCTCTAAAGGCCACTGTGATCACGGTTTAGGAGGCTGTGCACGCTTTGTCCTTCACTTGTGTTAATATAATAATATAATACTGATCAAAATGAGTTGCCTTGTCTTCTGGTCCCAACAACACCTCATAGGATCCAAATTAAAGCTAATTTCATGCTGTGTGTACAGAAAGTGACTCAAACTCTTTGTGTGATGCCCCCACATGCTGATAGATGTTAGCAAAGTTCATCAGCACGTCTTTAGTGTGACTTCTCCCATGGCTCATGCAGTTGCCATCAGAGATGAGCAGTAATGCGTTAGTAATCTGATTACTTTTTTCAGGTAAC